GATTATACACTAATTAGAACTCATGAACAATTTATACTGGGAAAGGTAACTATAATGCAGCAGAATATCAACTTCTATCATTGTACTGTTTATGGTAAGCATACAGTGCAAGACAAGAAGAATCTATGGGAGGAGTTGTTGAAGTATGTGATTATATAAGGAGTCTTTGTCTCATAATGGGTGATTTTAATACCATCCTAACAAGTGAAGATAGATTTAATGGCAGCCCTGTGCAAGAGGTAGAGATAAGGGATTTCAAGCAATTCTTATTGGATGCTAAAGTAGATGAATTGAAAACTGTGGGAAGACAATATACATGGACTAATAACCATGTACATAGCAGGATTGACAGAATTCTGGTGAATGCTGAATGGATACAAAAGTGGCCTAACATGGAGGGGATGTCTATGAATCCTGGATTCTCAGATGACTGCCCTTTAAATGTGAGCTTTGATACCAGCAACCAAGTAGGAGGGAAACCTTTCAAATTCCTTAACTTGCCGGCAATTTGAATTCATTTGAAGAGACAGTTCAGCTCAATTGGAGACCCAGAAATGGTAGACATACAATGCTAACAGTGCGGAGCAAACTTAAGAAGCTGAAAGTGGCACTGAAGCTGATGAATAAGGAATAGTTCAGTGGAATTGATAACAAGATACAAGATGCTAGAGTGAGATTAGAAAATTTGCAAAGCCAAATGAGTATCCCAGGCCAAGATGTAGAGCAAGTTGAACTGGAAAGAGCTACAAAATTGGAGCTGGAAAAATGGTTAATGGTGGAGGAGAGCACTCTGAAACAAAAGTCTAGGATACAATGGTTTAATCTTAGAGATTCAAACACAGCATTCTACCATGATTGCATGAAAAATAGACAAGCAACGAACAACATTGGTAGGTTAATTAATAGCAATGGGAATCTATTACAGAATCCAGATAAGGTGGAGGCAGAGATCCTAAGTTTCTATAGGGGTTTACTTGGTACTGCAGCAGCACAACTACCAGTGATCTATTTTGAGATTATGCAGAATGGATATGTGCTGAGCAGGAGCCAACAACTACAGTTAATCAGACCTGTTAGTAGAGAAGAAGTGAAGCAAGCTCTAATGGGCATTGATGATAACAAGGCACCAAGTGTGATGGGTACAATTCCTACTTCTTTAAGAAGACATGGCACATTGTGGGAGAGGAAGTTACTGCAGCAGTTCAAGAGTTTTTTGAGAGTGCAGATATGTGTAAAGCTATTAACTGCACAACCATCACATTGATACCAAAAGTTCAGAATCCAACAAACATAAGAGACTTTAGACCTATTTCCTGTTGCACAGTTTTATATAAGCTTATCTCAGATGTGATTACTACAAGAATGCAAGGGGTGATGGAAGACTTGGTGGATAATTGCCAAGCTGCTTTTGTACCTGGAAGACTGATCACAAATAATATACTTATGAGTCATGAATTGGTGAAAGGTTATGGAAGAAAGAATATATCTCCAAGATGTATGCTTAAAATAGACATGCAGAATGCCTATGATTTTGTGGAGTGGCTGTACATAGAACAAGTGCTAAGGTTACTCAATTTTCCAAAGTATTTGTGAGGTGGATAATGGCTTGTATTAGAACATTACGCTATTCAGTTCTTATTAATGGTAGACCTACTGCACCCTTTGAGGCAAGGAAGGGGTTAAGGTAGGGAGACCCACTCTCACCCTTCCTATTTGTTTTGGCTATGGAGTATCTGAGCAGATCCTTGAAGACACAGAAGGGAGACAAGAAGTGCCGGATTTAACTTAGTGCAACTGAGATTTGCAGATGACTTACTATTGTTCTGCAGAGGAGATGTACAATTTGTACAGATCCTGCACCAGCATTTCCAGCAATTCTTTGGAGCATCAGGACTGATTGCCAATCCAAATAAAAGCTGCATTTATTTTGGAGGGGTGAACCAGTTGACTCAGCAACAAATTATGGAGCTACTTGGTTATACAAAGGGAGAATTGCCTTTCAGATATTTAGGGGTGCCTTTGAGTACTAAGAGATTGTCTACTATACAGTGTAAGCCCCTAATAGAGAAGATGTTGAACAGGATCCAGAGCTGGACTACAAAGTTCTTGTCATATGCAGGTAGAGCAGTACTGGTGAAGAGTGTGCTGTTTGCTATACAAATGTTTTGGGCACAGATCTTTATGTTGCCTAAGAAAGTTATACAGTTCATAGAAACTATCTGTAGAAGGTTTCTTTGGACAGGTAATGCTGAATCAACTAAAAAGGCTTTGATAGCCTGGGAGAAACTATGCTCACCTAAGGTTATAGGGGGATTGAATTTCATTGATGTGGCATTGTGGAATGAAGCCACTACAACAAAAAGGGGCTTTAGCGGCAATACAAAATGGCTTTAGGGGCAATAACAATAGCCGCTATATCTTTTACTGGCCATTGGTGTTTTGCCGCTGAAGCTGGGGTCGGCAAAGCCTTTAGCGGCCTTTCTCACAAAAGCTGGTAAAAGGTATAGTTTATTGCCGCTAAAAATTATTATCTTTAACGGCAATTATTTGCGGCAATAATAATGGCTACTAAATCCAATCCAAAACAGCTAATTATACTCCTTTAGCATCCATTTTTATAGCCGCTAAATTCAAAATAATTGCCGCTAAAAGTTCACATCTTTAACGGCAATTATTTTGTAGCAATTAAAATGGCCATAGTATCCCTTCTGAAAACATCTTAGTTTGCCGTTTTAGCGTCCTTTTTAATGGCTAATATGTCTAACTAAATTGCCACTAAAAGACAATATCTTTAACGGCAATTGTTTTCCAACAATTATAATGGCTGCAATACCCTTGTGAAAATATCTTAATTTGCCTTTTTATCGTTTATTTTTATAGCTGGTATAAACTAAATTAGCGCTAAAAGTCAAAGGAGGTAACAACAATAGTTTTGCCACCATTAATAATAGTTACTACATCATCCAGAATATGACTCAAATAAGAAAATATATTAATAGTAATTCAAAAAAAATATATCTTATTAAATCTTAACAAACAAAAAGAAGTACTAATCAAAAATATTAATGTCACAGTAACTTAAAAAATAAACTTATATTGTTTGAACTAAATAGCTAATATCATTATATAAGTAATCCAGACTAATGATGGTCTTTAAATGATTTTGCAACTTTTCATCATTTTGAAATCTTGCTCCCGCTAAATTATCGAACATCATATTGTATAACCTGAAATTATCGAAATAACAGTGTCAAAAGATAAAATATAATATGAAAAAATATCTTGAATATTCCATCATTGTTAGATTCTTTGTCAGCCAACTCCCTCACCTAACATCTATAAGCAGAAACAACTCTATAGATTAATATGCGAACAAAAAAAATGTAGTCATCAAACAATTAAACAGAGTTTCTTCCTTTATTATGATAGAGAAGAAAAATTCAAAAGCAGAGTATTAGCTTGGAGAAGCAAAAAGAAGTTGCACACCTTCTTTTCCTTAAACATGGATACTAGATTATGTTACATGCTATTAATGAATCTCCCAAATAGGTGACAGAAAATTATGCACATTAACTTCGACAAAACCTTAGGCATAATCATATTGTATGTGTCACAAATAGTTAAAATTAAATTTCTCTAAAAACTATAGCTAACTTAACAATAGAAAATAACTATAACTACGAGACTAAGTCCTATGTACCATTGCAACATGATATTCATGAAACCTTCATACGACAAATATGAAGCTAAGTCCAAACTTAAGACCTACTACATGATGTAAAACTTGTTAGCGAGTAGAGATGAGCTACATGAATCTTCTATATCAATAATATTCTCAACTAGTTGATCTTTTAAGAAAATCTAACTCAAAACCATAAACAAAAATTATGGAGACTTTATGCTCAAGTTTGGAGAAACTTGTCATTTTAGCATCGTGAAAAGATGTGAAAAAAGTATCCCCATTACTCATGACCAAATTTGCCACTGTACCCACAAAATTTTTCTTTCTAATCTAAAAGGTGTAAAAATCAAGCACTTACAAGTAACTGAATATCTTCCACTCTACTGAAGATCTAGCCCTTGCTTAATACTTATCTTTCATCAGATAGGATTAGAGGAAAAATGTTGGACTGATAACTATCGTGGAACAAATATTTTAATAAGAGAGATCAAAAGTAATTCACCATCTTAAGTGGGATTCTTTCCAAATCCTCATAGATGAGTGACAAGACAGGATCTTAAAACTATCCTTCGGCATTTGAAATCTCCGATTTTTACCACTCCACCAAATCAAACTTTTGAAATCTCTCTTTTGCTAAAGAACTCAAACTTCAATCAGAATGAATATTATTTTTCGAAAGGTAACAAGTAGAATGAATCTTTAGACAGTTTCAAATATAAAAGCAATAACTAGAGAGTGAATAGTCTCAATTTATGTAATAAGGCATGGAATAATCGAGCAGCACATCTGCTAATAAGGATGGTTGCACTCACTTAAAAAGGAATCAACCAAGAAATAAGATGAAGATCACAGGCAACATACTATATTTATCATTGGAAGTAGTGGACAAAGTGCAATTAACACAACCACCACCAACACTCATTTTGTCATATTCTCCATTACAACATGGATTCTTCTCCACTTCACTTGCTACAAGGTTCAAATCAATTTCCATTAAATCTAGAAAAGTTGGTTTTTGTTTGGTTGAATTTTCTTTACTCTTAGTTTAACGTTACACTCCAACAAAACAAAAAAATAGTGAAAAAGCATATTAAAGGTTGAGAGGAGAGAATCAAGCAGATTAATGATGTCCATTTAACGGAAAAAATAAATCATATTACACATATAATCACAATCAAGAAAGATGTTGCTTTCAAAATGATTCACTACTATATATCAGACATACATGACAAAAAATATTTAAAATATTATAGTTTATAATTTTTACAGGTTTACCTGCTCATTCATCAATGTAGCAATACTTTGGGATCCTCATGTGTGGCCTCGTTTGCTTGGCCCTATTGTTTGTATTTGCTTGGGTACGTCTCTATCATTGAACTATTAAAATGACATTTTATAAATTTTAAATAAAATGTGAGCATAATTAAAATGAAAAGGCTATGAAAATGAGCAGACTAGGAGAATTTTCAAGGTTGATACCTTATCTTTATCAGAAAGCCAATAAGAGACAAGACCACTCCATTAATCCCTCGGTATACGATTTGGTCTATTTTTTAGCAAAGTCTTTAGTTTTATATTTTCGCGTATACTCATCTTTTAAATCGCATTTGTAATCTTTTCATTTCTTTCCTAGTGACTTTAAGATCCACGCTTCTCCACGTTTTGGGATAGAGAACTTCTTCTGGAAAAAATAAAAGCCAACATTTAGAAAATGACATCATGTATAAAAGATTGACCATGTTCACAAAATAATAATAATCATGATAACTACTTTATACCCTCACAAAATTCACAAATTTCTTCTTCTCCTCGTTGTCAAATTTTTTCCAAATATCTACATAGAGAGGTGTTAGTTCTTGAATTCTGGCAATAATTTCATGAAAGCTAGCAAGTTTTCGGCCTTTTTTTTCAATAGCTTGGTTACGATTATCAAACGGCACATCAATTATCTTTCCCGACGGAGGTTTCCAAATATCTTTTAGTAAAGTAGGCCCGCGAACCTTTTTTGATTCTAAATTACCTAGAATGGAAAAGATTTGAATCATATGATATAATTAGAAACAAGGGCTGCAGTCAACTGAATCAGCTGAAAACTGAAAACTGAAAATTTCATTTGCACTTCATTAAGGGCCTCAGACATTTGTGCCAATGCTATAGTAAAACTAGCATCTTACAGTCTGCATTTTTTGGACATAGCCTTAGGTTGAGATTTGCAGTTTTCTTTTGCACTTCATTATGAAAACTAGCTACTGTGAAATATTCCTGTAGAATGTCATCCTGCAGTTTAAGCAAAATATTGTTTAGGATAATACATAACCTGTAGTGACTCTCGTATCTCTTTTTTGTTGGGGTGCATCTTTGAGGTCCTATAGTTTTCAATTAATTTGACACCAAATTTTGTGATTCCAAGACATTGGTCTGAATGCATCACATATTGCTATATTTCTTTGTTCTTATCTCCAAAAGATGTGCTCTCATATTTTGGCATCGTGTTAACATATCAGTCCTAGGTTGTCTACAAGGAATCCAACTGGATCACTGCACTACTTTGGGCAGTCTTGCTGGTATGTTTAAGAAGGTATCCCTACCTTATTCTTGTATACAAAATAACTTTACCAACAATATACTTTTAGTTTAGATGATGATTGTCCTTCAAGGTAGCCCGATTTACTTGATGGATAAGCATACATTCCATACAAGGACATAAAAAAATTTCCCCAACTTGTTTTTCAGTGGTTTAAAAAATCATCTACTCCGTCCAAGTATTTTTTAATAACTCTGTCACAATACATCCATCTTTTATTTCTAGGAATATTCATGACATTCAAGATATTCTTTTCTTTTCTGCAATTATTATAAGAGCAAAAAATACATTAGTAAGAAATTCTTAGTGCATTAAGAAACGAGGAAGAAACGAACAAGATAAAGATAGTTGAGGTTGATTCTATCATAAATAACTAAATGTAAATATCAAATGCATATAACGCCTTTAAATTTATTTAAGCATAACAAATTAGAATGAGTTATTCATTCAAACAAAGGATTAAACTGCAAAATCCACATCCATATTACCATCAAGGATAGAACTCACAGAGAAAACAAACTGATTTTGGTAACGAGAATCTAATAACTAAAACTACAGGGAAAAAATAGCTTGGTGTTTGGGAAGTATATTGGAACAAGCAAGAAGAGAGCAAGCATGGACTCTTAAAAGATTCATTGGGACAGATAAGCATAGTAGATGCCTTTGCATTATAAGGATTTATAAAAATAAAATTTCGATGCTCTTGCTACACATGTAGTTCGGTTAAATAAGAGTTTTCTTCAAGATTATCACTTCTAATTCAAAAAGTGAGACACTTCACGCTGCTAACTTAGGTTCGACATTTTGGACATGAAACAGAATTCTAGTTTTTAATTCAAAAATAACGACAGAACCTATGAGCATGATACGTGAGACATAAGAAAACAGAATTAAATTAGCATCGGCATTACTGACTTACGGTAGGTGAACTTAACAGAAACAAACTTATCAATCAAGCCGCCAGAGTTTAATATTTAAACGAATATATTTAAAATTGATCATTTCTTTTCTTAACAAGTAGCATATCTTAAAAAACATTCTCCTAGCATATCAACCATTAAGTACTTTTATGATTTAAAATGCAAAAGGCAAAACTAGAACTAACAGTATTAAGTAACACGAAGAGATCTCGAAAGCTAACGAATTAAATTGTTCATGTCCACTTAAATCCATAATTCAAATAGAATTACTTTACGCTTAAATTAACATAATTTTCTTTAAGTATAGTCTGCTATGAATAACTTATAGTAGTCAAAAGCAAACATATAATAATAGGGAAAAATAAAAGAATCAATTCAATCAATTGCCCACCAATTTAACAACATCCAAAGATCACAAATTACAATAGCTAACACACAAAAAAATATCTATAGAAATCACAAACTGTCGTAGTTGTACATCACAAATCACAAATCGGCTTACGCTCAAGTGTTTGGGGTACCTGGTAAGCAGAATACTTTGACGATGAAGATAAGAAAGTGAAGGAGAAAAACAATATCAGTAACAATCTCGAAACCTACATAAAAAGATAAGACTGAGAGTTAAACAACCCTGATGCCTCAATAACTTTTTAAAGCAACATTAAAGAAAATTAGATATTTAACTGGTTTCCTCCTTGTATGCTTAAATCTTTACCTTAAAAAAAAGATATGCTCAAATTGATTATCTACAAGACTTTCCTTCAAATGGTAAAGCTAAAATCAAAATATTATTTTAGTAGAATGCAATATTTTTCTATTGGAACATTGCAAAATTTAAAGGTAGGATCACTGCATATACAAAAATATAAGAAATCTCTTATAGCCGGATTTAGCAATATATCTCATAGAAGTTTCTAGCTTGTAATTAACTAAATCTAAAAGTTCAAGAAATTGCAATCCTAGTTTCTCAGCACAAAAATGCTAAGAGCTATATAAGAAGCACATCAGATGTGCTAAAGTTTAGGTTAAACTTTAAAGTGAATAAGCATATGAAAACTTCGCACATCAAACAGACAACATGGACTATCAAGAACGAAAAAAATTCCCTAATACATGTCCCTAATCCATATCAAGCACTCACTCGGATGATTTCAACAAATCGAAAAGAAACCAAACTATATATGTGAAAAGACAACTATTTTAATTGAGTTTAAATAAACTTTTGAACTCAATTCAACAGAACGTGAACATCATACATAATAGTTTTTTTATTAATCTAATAAGAAATAACAATCCTAAGACTAACTTAATAATACAAGAGTGAAAATATTTGCCTGATCAATTTAAATCAAGAAGTAAACAACATACGCAACGCAAAAGTTTTTATATCATTATGATGCTGGAGTTTTATAATTTAAATCTACCGCGAGCTCACATCAATTTTCTTAAATAGTTAATTAGGTAATCTCAAGGGCAAAATACTCACCTAACCAAATACTAAGAAAATAGTCTTCTCCAAAAATATAACTACATTAAGAAATTACCTCAAATACTCGATAAATCATCTTCTTAATACATAAATCCATTGCACACAAGTTTAAGAAATATCATCAGAAATTATCCAAGAAACACTTCTGAAAACTTGAATTACATCAACTTTATTATTTGAACCAAAGAAGAAGGAATACCAAAGAAGATGCGCAAATAGTACTAGTTTTATCGCAGTCAATATAGGTTGGTGTCCCTTAGGTTTATAAAATCTAAAAAACTCACATGATTTTTTATATTAAAACACACGTAATTTTTTGTTTTTAATTTTAGGTTTGCTAAAATAAATAGCGTGTTCATATTCAACCTCTTCCTCCTGATACAATAACAAAAGCTCTGGCAGATGAATACTTTTCTAAAATATATATTACAGAAAAAAGAAGAAAAAAACTTATTCTACTGCACCAACTTTTCTATAAAATCTCAACAAATAGAGATCTAGAATATAGAAATAGTGAAGTTGGATCACTAAATTCATAATGCAATATAGAAACCTATGCTATAAAATCAATTATGTTGCAACGATCAGTAAGTGGTATGATTTGATTATTGGAAAAACATTTTCATAGATTCTTGAAGCTAGAAAGTTATATATACCAACAATACAAAATTAGAAAAGATACTAAAAAGTTCTCATTCAAGAATTAGATCTGCGGCAATAAAAATCCAACAACCAGCAATTACAAATTTTCATCAACCAAATTAGAAGTTTCAGGGCGACGGTCTAGGAACTGAGTGTAATGGTTATCCGAGGTGCGAGGAGTAGCCGGCCGATTTCTGTTTTGTTAAATTTATTGAATTATTTTGTTAGAGAACGTAATTGCTATCGCTCAAAGGTGCGGTCATGTAGTTATTGAGATGGGAGATAAAAATTATTGAAAATCATCAACAAAGTAACCAAAAAAACAAAAACGAAGCCATCATATTCGTTGGCTTTTGGAATCTGATGATATTCAAATTTTGTTTTTGTACCATCCACAGACTCTAATATAGTCAATCCACATGATAATAAGACTTAAAGACAAATAAAGATACTTACCAACAAGTTTGATGGTGGCCGGCAATTTGGTTGCCCATGGGGATTTGGATAGCCTGCTGTAATAATATTTTTTCTTTAATCCTAATTTCTGTGTTTGAGAGGGCTCTCGGTATGAGAGGGTTTGAGAGGGTATATTAACGTTTGCGCGGGAGAGGATTTAGAGGAAAAATTAGAAATTGGAGGGAATACCAAAAGTAAATATTTACTGATTAATATCCATTGGCCGCTAATATTCGCCTTCCGTGAATAGATTAACGGCAATTAATTTATTGCCGCTAAATAATTGCCGCTAAAGCCCATTTTTGTTGTAGTGAGCTGCTATCTGCAAATTGCTATGGAATATCTGTACTAGGAAGGAGAAGCTATAGATACACTAGGTACACACTTACTATATCAAGGGCCATACAGTCTGGAGTACAAAACGAAAGAGTGCTTCCTGGGCAATCCAAAAGATATTTCAGGCTAAGGAGTACTTTGCTAAGGCAGGATTGAATAAAGAAGATGTACAGAGGATGGTGAAGTGTCCAATTAAGCAAATACACAGATCCTTACGAGGAGAATTTCAAAAAGTGCCATGGAGGAAGTTAGTGTGCAATAACCAAGGGCAGCCCAAGTGGATATTCATTTTGAGATTGGCAATTCAACAGAAGCTAGCAACCAAAGAGACACTGGCAAGATGGGGTGTAATTACATATCAAACATGCTCCCTGTGCAACAAGGAAAATGAGACAGTTCAACATATGTTCTTCAAGTGTGAGATAACAGGGAAGATCTGGAATGGTTTATTGAGATGGCAAGGAATACAAATGTTGGCCCAAGTTCAGATGAAGTTTTGAAGATTGACAAAATGAACTCAGTCATGGACCAGGTCCATCATGTGAGATAAAGTGTTAATATACTTATACTTGTGAAAGGCATGTGGAGAAGATAAGTATCAAGGATCAGCAATAATATCTTCTGAGTTGATTGAAAAGGTTGCATAGGATAAGGAGATGAAGTCTCCTTGTGTGAAGAGAACTAAATCCGGATCAAGAATAAGGATTGGAGTTTGAATTGTTCTAGGACTCGAATTTGATAAATGATCAGCAATTGAGTCTCAATCAAACGCTGATTACTAACTCTATAAATAATAGTGATCGTTCACTTTTACAGGGTAGCACATATGCAGAAGTTAAACTAAATTGAGAGAAAAAGAGCTAGGCGATTTTGCAAGCAATTTATGTGTGATTCAAGTGTGCATTCTTGAAGCTACATGAACCAGAGTGAAGAATCAATTCCATTGTGTCTTTCTTTATTTCTAGTTCAATTGTAGTAGGTGTTTTCATATTGTACCTTTCAGCTTTCATTGATGCAATTGTATTAGGTACTTTTAGTATTCAAGTTAGAGTTAACTTGAAAGTGTCGCAACAGTTGAGGCTGTGTGCCACACTGGGATTAGAATTTAATCCTTAGGTTTACAAGAGTTTGGTAAATGCAGTTTTGGCCCAGTGATTTTAGTGGAAGTTTGGGAAAATCCTACTGAGTAGTAGGTCGTGGTTTTTGAGCCAGGTGTTTTTCACGTAAAAATCTCTGTGTTCTTTATTTTAATGTACTCTTACTTCCACAAACAGTAATAGTTAGTATACCTAGAAGAAATAGGTTCTTCTAGAGCGAAAATTAGGTACCACACAAATCACCCCCTCCCCCCCTCTCTTGTGTGGTATTGACGTGTAGAACATCAATTGGTATCAGAGCAGGTTATCCTTCAAGAGGCTAACACCTTAGGAGAAGATCAACAATGAGTGCACCACCTGGGAACTGGGAAGGGCAATCCACTGCCAGGCCTTCACTTTTCAATGGTCAATACTATTCTTGGTGGAAGAACAGAATGAGAGATCACATTATAGGGGAAGATTATGAACTTTGGGACATAGTCACTGATGGTCCCCTAGCAACCACAAAGAAGAATGCTGAAGGAATTGATGTGCCAAAGACAAGGGCTGATTGCACTGCTGAGGACCTGAGGAAGTGGGAGAAAAATGTTAAGGCCAAGAAGTGGCTTGTATGTGGACTAGGACCAGACGAGTACAGTAGGATCCAAAGCTGTACAACGGCTAAGGAAATATGGGACACTCTGCAAGTGGCTCATGAAGGAACACCTCAAGTGAAAAGATCAAGAGGAACACTTCTATATTCTCAATATGAGAATTTTACTATGAAGGAAGGAGAAACTATCCAGGAGATGTATACTAGATTCACCACTTTGACAAATGAACTTGAATCTCTTGGAAGGATTATCCTTGAAGAAGACAAGGTTGAGAAGATTCTGACAAGGGTTCTGCCAGTCACATGGGAAAGCAAAACCACTGCCATTCAAGAATCCAAGAATATTGCTACCCTTAGAGTGGATGAACTGATTGGAAACTTAACTGCCTATGAAATGAGGAGACAAACTATGAAGATGGATACCCCCAAAAAGGAGAGAAGCTTAGCTATCAGAATTGCTGAAGGTGCATATTTGGAAGATGATGAAGTGGCTATGATCACTAGGGATTTCAAGAAGTACCTGATGAGAGGAAAGGGTTCTTCAAGAGGTATAAACTTCAATAAAACAAGAGCTCCGGAGAAATAGACCAATGAGGGATGCTACAAGTGTGGTAAGACTGATCATATGATCAAAAACTACCCTCAATGGGAAATTGAGTGGAAGAAAGAAAGAGCTGAATGAAGGAACAAGAAGAAGGAACAGGTTCAACCAAAAAGAAACAAAGGTTCAACCAAGGCTATGGTTGCTGCTTGGGGAGAAACTTCAAATGAAGACTCAGAAGATGAAGCTGAGGAGGAGCAAGCACTAATGGCCATCGGAGAATCAGATGATGAACAAGAGGTAAGTATTCTTCATCTCAAAGACAAGATTAAATTCTTGTCTAAAGAAAGGCTGGCTGAGCTATTAATAGACTTCATTGATGAGTCTAAGATAATTAATAATGAGAAGGAAGTTCTATCTAGGGAATGTGTGATTCTAAAAGCA